TTAGCAACTGAAAACCTTCCGTTCACACACACATGATGTTGGTAGGACCATATGATCAGAAAACTCAGTGTGTGCATACAAGTGTTGGCTAAAACGGGTTTGGGAACTTCTGTGCAGATGGGTGCGTTATGCTGGCTGCAAAACTTGGTTATCTCCTGGTGGCACCATAGTGAGGTTCCACGTCTTGGTTATGGTAATCAGGGAAGTTCTCAGTGAGAGGAACAGACTTGGCTGGTGGCAGCCTTGCCAAGAGGTGTTTTATCTGTTCTGGAGATGTCCTGGAGAAGCTAATCCGTACAGAAGCTGGTGAGTACAAAGAGGTGGAGCTGGTTCTAATTTCAGTTTGTTCTGGATTCTATCAAAGCCTCGGAATTGCCCAAGGGTTTACACTGGTTGAGACAGTCATCCTGTAGACGGGCCACCAGGAGTCCAGAGGAGCACCTAGCAATTCCCCTTTACCATGGTCATTTGGCCTTAGCTTTTCCTGTTGTCTTTCTCATCTTGACTGTGGCTTTTCTCTTTGTGGCTTTGATCAAGGTGTCCATCTGGCCTGCTATGGTTTCCCTGTGTTGGGGAGTAACTGTCTTACCTGGCTGCAAAGTCTGTGCAGAACAGACCTGGGGAACCCTTTAGCTCCTTGTCTTCTGCTTTTTCCTGCTGGGCATGTCTTCTGGATGGAGGGCACTGGTCCAGCCTGATCTCTCTGCAGCCTTAAGCTGCTCAGTCATTTGAGGAGCTTTTGATGCCCCTGTTGCCCTTTGGATGATACCAGCTGGATCACATACCTCATGGCAATGCCTGAAGACTGACAGGTAGAGGATCCTGGCGTACCAGCACTGTGGTCTCTGCCTCGGAGTAGCAAAGCTGCTTCTCAAGGAACCGGCTCATCTTCCTGCTTGTGTTTGAGTTTTGGAGTCCTTGTGCATAACTCACTTTTCTGAGCCAACTTTCCACAAACACGGTTTGTTTTTCTTCAATTTGGGTAATCTCCACAAACTCAGCCCTTTATATCCTGGATCTGCTCAGAAGCTGGGGATACAACGTGTTGCTGAGAAGAGACTTCTGATTTATTTGCTCATGTCTAACTGTGGCAGCAGAAGGGATATCAATAATAAACTTAATGTCTTGCAGGCTTTTTCTTTTTAAATGAGAATAAGAAATGTATCCCCAAGGAATGGGCTCAGAAATTACAACTGCCCAGAAGCATGTTGGAACAGGGTGCCCAGAGAAGCTGTGGCTGCCCCATCCCTAGCAGTGCTCAAGGCCAGGTTGGACACAGGGGCTTGGAGCAAGCTGCTCTAGTGGAAGGTGTCCCTGCCTGTGGCAGGGGTTGGAACTGGAGGAGGTTTAAGTTTCCTTCCAACCCAAACCAGTTTGGAATGCTGAGAGGCGAAAGTGCTGTGTAATTTGTCAGCATGTTTGTTCTGGTTATTAAAAAGCTCTTTAAGATCCATACTGTGAACAGGAGCAGTTGGCAGGATCCAGTTCCTGTACCTACAGGTACCTGGAAGGAGGTTGTAGTGAGGTGGGTTTGGTCTCTTCTCCCAAGTAACAAGGGGTAGGATAAGAGGAAACAGCCTCAAGCCGCACCAGAGGAGGTTAGACTGGAGGTTAGGAATTGTTTCTTCACTGAAAGGGTGCTCAGGCATTGGAACGGGCTGTCCAGGGCAGTGCTGGAGTCACCTTCCCTGGAGGTTTTTAAGGGATGTGCAGATGTGGTGCTAGGGGCCATGGGTTAGTGGTGGCTTTGGCAGTGCTGAAGGGATGGTTGGACTTGATGATCTTAAAGGTCTTTTCCAACCTAATTGATTCCATGATTCTATGAATGTTGGGTTTGGGTTCGATGAGCTGTTGACAGTTGTGAGGAAAGGCAGCATATTGATGAGCTGAGCTTTAGGGAGCCAGGAAAGGGACTGGCTTGGCTGAAAACTGTTGTTCATGTTTAGCTGGTATGAAATTGGAACCGAAGCACGCTGCAGATGTTATCTGTGGATTTCAGTTACTTCCTTGCTAAGTGTATCCATGAAAACCTTTACTGCTTTTCCTTTGTGTTTGTTGAATGGCATGAGTCAGATACTAAAGCCCTGACTTCAGGTTCCACCCTGGGATGGACCCCAACAAGGAAACGCCAAATAACTTGTAACAGAAAGCCACGTGTTTCCTGATGGATACGGGTGGCCGTTCCCTTCCAGCCCCAAATAGGGCTGTGCGGACAAGGCCATGGTGTTGCCTCTGTCTGTCAGATGTGGAGCACAAAGAACCTCAGTCTAAATCCTGCCAGGACACAGGGAACGAGGGCAGCTTTATTCCAATGCGCAAAGTGAACCTTTTTCCTCTGGACTTAAAAAAACCCAATATTTTGGCTGAACAAATGAACTGACCTTTTTTATTAAAAACATCTATCTTCTGCCTGCTTCAGCAAGAAGCTTTTCAAGTTGAAAAAACTCCTTAACTTCAAACCAATGACTTAAGTCATTCCAACGGCATTTATCATCTGACTTTTTGCTCCTTAAATGTGGAGAGCTCGTAGCCTTTATTTTATCAAAGGAGAGCAGGAAGAAAAGTGACTCTAACCCTGTGTGCTCTTTGCACAGGTGGAGAGAGGCTGAGTCAGGGCAGTGCTGAGCCTGCTCAGTTCCTTTCTAAGTTGATGGGAAGATTCCCATTTGTTTCAGTAGGCGTTGACCTGCCCACAAGCTCACGCTTACGCCTGTTGAGATCCAGAGGAAGGATCGAAGGTGATGAGACACCAGTGAAGTGCAATCTTCTTCTTGCACGTGTTCACCACGACGGTAGCCATCCTCACAGGTTGTGTAAGAGTTGCTTCATTTCCAGGACATGAAAGAACACTTGTGCTTCCCCAGCTCGGTGTTTTCAGGTCTCCAGCGAGCACATCCTCATACTGGCTTTTTGTTTTCTTCCCCTGTAGTCTGGCCCAGCTTCCAACCAGGAACAAGCCCTTATTTTCTTTAGCTATTTTAGTTTGATTTAGGCTTAGCTGAACCTGGCGGAACTGCAGCTCCATGGGAATGTTTGTCTGCTGTTGTGCACAGAGACCTTGAAATAAACCCCCCCACATTTCCTTAGATGGGATGGCAAAGGTTTCTTTGCCTGCCTCTACCTCCAGGAGATGGAGAGTGAAGATTTCCCCCCCTACCCCTAATTGACACACAAGTAATTCTTCTTCTTTGGTAAGTTTTGGAGTTATTTTTATTTGGTGTTTCCCCTCCCCCAGCTTTTTAGCCTTTTCAGTTTCTTTAGTTATCTTTTATGGGTTTGTTTTACTCTTGAAACACAGCCACCGGGATGAGACACCATTCCAGCTATGATCCCAGAGCCCTGCTGCACAGGGATTACTGTGCGTGCCTTACATAAGGCAGCCCTGTTGACAGACACAAGGATTTTGGTGTTCACTAGCAGTACAATGTTGTTGGCTTGTGTTCAGCTTGTGACTAATTGTAACCCCAGCTCTTTATTTCTGCACAGCTGCCTCATAGGGACCAGGCTGAAGGAGATGGGAGAAAACGGGATTTTTCTGAATTGCTAAAGCATGCCTGCCTTTGGGATTGCGAGAATCCCGACCAGGGAGGAGCGTGGCTGTTGCTAGCACCTTGGGAAGGTGCTGCCTTCCCTCAGTGTGTGCTTGAGCCCAGAAGCACCCCGTGTGCTGGGCTGCACCCCCGGAGCGTGAGCAGCAGCTCAGGGAGGGGATCCTGCCTCTCTGCTGCACTCTGGGGAGACCCCCATGCAGTTCTCACTGAGCCACATGCAGTGGTTGAAGTGCTGTGTCCACATGAGACTGCAGCTTCCACAGAGGGCGTGAGCATCAGTTTTCAGAATGGCTGTAGCCAGCGTGACAGGGGCTTGTGGTTGCCTTCCCCATCTCTGCGTCATTGGCACGTTCACTTTGAGGGGCTACCTTAACCAGGTTAAAGGTACCAGGAATCCTCTCTGAGAAAGGCCAATGTGCAATTCCAATGCTAAATTATGTAAGTAGGACACTTGGAGCATTAATTTTATGGTAAGACAGCCTCACAAAGCCTATTAAAGGGGACAGAAGGGGAGCAAAAGCAGTGGCTGTTGGTCCCTGGGGTGCTGGCAGCCGAGGCGGGTGGTGGAGGGGGTCCCGGTCCCTGGCTCTCACCGGGTGCCCTCTTCCCGCAGGTCTCTGTGCCGCCGGTGCCGGCCCCCAGCTCCAGAGCTGCGATGACGACTGGGGACTGCTGCCACCTGCCCGGCTCCCTCTGCGACTGCCCGGGGAGCGCCGCCCTCTCCAAGTCGGTGGAGGACTCGGACATCGGCCGCCCGCAGTACGTCACGCAGGTCACTGCCAAGGATGGCCGGCTCCTGTCCACCGTCATCAAGGCGCTGGGCGCGCAGAGGTAGGGCTGCTGCAGGGAAGGGCTTTGGCCTGACTCCAGCAGGGCTTTTCTGCTCCTGCTCCTGCTCCTGCGGCTCTAGGGGTAGAGGGAGGCAGCAGAGTGCTGTGGAGTTCTCCAGAGCGCTAATGTTGGGAGTCAGTCTTCGTTAGCCAGATGCTTCCCAGGCCTGTGCTGTCTCTGTGGGAGCCCACACCCGTTCCATGTCCTGGTGGGCCTGGGACTTGCACATTCATCAACTCCCTCCAGGCCTGCGGCTGCTCCAGCTGAGATGGGGCAGCCTCTGCCTGTGTGCCTCTGCCAAGTCCTTGCTGAGCAGCAGTGAAGGTGGGATGCCACAGTAGCAAGAGCTGTGTGGAGATGCTCTCTCCTGAGACCCCCTGCAGTCCTGCATTCAGCTCTTGGGCTACAATACAGGAGGGATGTGGAGCTGCTGGTGAAAGTCCAGAGAGGCCGCAGAGATGCTGCAAGGGCTGGAGCAGCTCTGCTCTGGAGACAGTGTTCAAGGCCAGGTTGCACAGGGCTTGGAGCAACCTGCTCTAGTGGAAGGTGTCCCTGCCCATGCAGTGGGGTGGAGCTGGATGAGCTTTGTCCCTTCCAATCCAAACCAGTCTGGGATTCTGTGATTTAAGAGCTGAAAATGGAGCACAGCCTCTGTTTCAGGATGGTCACGGAGTAAAAGTGTGGTGTTAATTTGCAGCCCCAGGGAAGGAGGGTGTTTGTGTTGCAGGAACCACAGTGCCTATTTATTGCCGGAGGGGACATGTGGCAGCTTCACTTGTTCACTCTTCTTGATGTGACTTCTCATCACTTGTTTTGAGCAGCTTCCAGAGCAGAGGACCCTTGGCAGCGTGGGGCACTCCAGCCACTGAGACCAGGCACATTCTGTCTTCAGATCCTCTCTTAACAGCTGTTAGTTTGTTTTCAATGAATTTGGCCAAACGTTGATGAGGTGTGAAAGTGGTGACTGCAAACGTGGGGGAGGAGAGCAGGAACGCTAGAGGAGCACGTCATTGCTATATCTAAACCTGGAGCTGGTTGATAAGCACATGAGGGGAGCTGAGCTTCCTCCCTGACACCAGATAGGCTGAGTGAGAAGTTGTGCAACCCCTTAAAGCTTGTGGAGGTGTAATAATTGTGTGGGGAACCTGCCTGGTTAAAAAAATCCCACCAGGGTTCCTCATGTGTCTTGGTGGGACACCAGTTTGTTCATTTTGGTGGGGGTAGGTTTCAGTCTCTTATCCCTTAACAGAATGAAGCCAGAAGCAGTGTGACTATACTGGAATGTTGAATTACTGATAGAGTCTCTACAGCCTGCTGGAAAACTGTGTCTGAGGGTGTTGGGATTGTGACCAGAACCTTCCCCTCTGGATAGGAAGGAAGGAAAATGGAGGCTGATAAGAAATTGTTTCTTGCAAGGTCAGCAAATTTTTTCCTTCTGGATTTGTTTCTTGGTAGCCAAGGTTATATTAATGCACTGGAAATATGAAACTTCTCAAACAGGAAGAGAAGGGATGAAATATCTTACAGATGCTTTTCTAAGGAAATAGCAGATGCATGAGAGCACTGGAGGCTTGGGGGTTCTTTTGGTCTGTCCCTGTCACTGGGGCCGTGTGAGGGGACTGTCATTTTGTCACTGATCCAGCCCTGAGCTTTATGGGAGTGGAGGGTGCAGAGTCATCAAATGATGCCAAGTTGGAAGGGAATTCTGGGGGTCCAGCCTCCTGTCAGAGCAAGGCCAACTTCAAAGAGGGGTCAGGCTGCTCAGAGGCTTGGCTGGGGCACTTTTCAGTGTCTCTGAGGATGGGGTTTCCACCTCCTCTCCAGACTCCCATCGCAGGAGTTTTACTGGCTGAAGAAGTCCCCTAAATAAAAGGCACATGTCAAGGAGGAGAGACCAAGGGTCAGTGGTTCACCAGGGATGTTTGGTAGGGAGAAGGGGATGGTGCAGTGCGTTTATGATGCCTCACAGCCCTAAATATGATTAACAGGCCCAACTGGAATGAAACCTGCTAAACATTGAATTGAAAGGGGTAGAGATAGGTTGTGATGCACATCAGCCCAGTAAAGGAGAAGCAAGATCCCTTTCCTGATGTATTTTCTTGCTGGCTCTTCCCTTTGTGTCCCAGCAGCATTTTTCCTCAGTCCACTCCTTTTCTTTGCCCTGGTTTTCTGTGTCTGACTCTTGCTTTGCCTGGTTGTGCAAACTGATGGAGATGTGCTGCTGCTTGCAGACTGCTTGTTCTGACCAGTGTGTTGCAATCCCACAAAGTTCTTTTGCTGTCAGATGTGTTTTTAAAGGCAGTGGATTATGAACTGTGAGATGTGGGGCTTTTAGTACTGTCAGCAGTGTTTGGGAAAAGGTGACAGGAGACATAACTCACCTGGATTTCAAGAGGACATGCAATAGGGTGTTTGAAATACAGATGTCCCCTTCTCACTCTGCCTCCCACCCCAAATCTGTGCAACTATAGATGTAAAAGAATGGTTGTATGAAAGAAATGGTTGGTTGAAAGGTGGGAAGTGAGATAGAATCATAGACTCACAGCCTGGTTTGGGATGGAATGGACCTTAAAGCTCATCTCAGTTCTAACCCCCTGCCATGAGCAGGGACAATTTCCACTAGACCAGGTGGGCTGGGGCATGCTGTGACCACTGTGGATCACCCAGCTTTGCTTTGGGCTTCTGGATTGCATCAGTGCTCCAGGGCTGGTTTCAGGTCAGTGTCTGAGCTGAGCTGGCCAAGCTGATGTGCCAGGTTGTCTTGGGTGCTGTGGTGCTCATCAGCACCATCCAGATTTTACTGACCTAAAACATCTCCATGCTCCTTTGACACGGGTTTCTTGCCTGGCACACTCTGCCATGTGCTGCCTGCTGTGCATGTGCCCTTCTTGGACTTGGTGGGCTCAGACCCATTCTCTGACGTGGCTGTATGGTTCTGCCTGCTCTGACAGTGATTTCGTTCTCTTTGTCTGCTCTTTAGTGATGGTCCCATCTGTCGAATCTGTCATGAAGGTGGAAGTGGGGAGGGACTGCTTTCCCCGTGTGACTGCACAGGAACACTGGGCACCGTGCACAAGAGCTGCCTGGAAAAATGGTTATCCTCCTCCAACACAAGTTACTGTGAGCTCTGCCACACAGAATTTGTTGTAGAGAGAAGACCGAGACCTTTGACAGAGGTACTGCTTTCTTCCTGCTTCACTTTGAGTTCCTTACCACTTGAGAGCAAATGATTTGCCCTGCTGTCCTTGTGGTTCTTGCTGTCTCCTCCTCCTCCTTAGCATCCACTCAGAACAATTTGTGTAGAGACATCAAGTCTCTTATAAGACCAAGTGATGTTACTGGAAAAATGTAGTAGAAGTTTGGGGCAACTCTGTGAACCCCTGTGTGCCGCTCACCAGTGTCAGGCTGTAGGACCTAAGGCTCAGGTTAGAAGGGACCTTAAAGCTCATTCAGTCCTAACCCCTGCCACAGGCAGGGACCCCTTCCACTGGAGCAGCTTGCTCCAAGCCCCTGTGTCCAACCTGGCCTTGAACACTGCCAGGGATGGGGCAGCCACAGCTTCTCTGGGCACCCTGTGCCAGCGCCTCAGCACCCTCCCAGGGAAGAGCTTCTGCCTAAGAGCTCATCTCAGTCTCTCCTCTGCAGGTTAAAGCCATTCCCCTTGGCCTGTCCCTACAGGTCCTTGTCCCAAGCCCCTCTCCAGCTTTCCTTCAGCCCCTTTAGGCACTGGAGCTGCTCTAAGGTCTCCCCTTCAGGAGCCTTCTCTTCTCCAGGCTGACCCAGCCCAGCTCTCTCAGCCTGGCCCCAGAGCAGAGCTGCTCCAGCCCTCGCAGCAGCTCCGTGGCCTCCTCTGGCCTTGCTTCAACAGCTCCACATCCCTCTTGTGCTGTTGCCCCAGTGCTGGATCAGGACTGAAGGAGGGGTCTCACTAGAGCACAGCAGAGGGGGAGAATCCCCTTCCTTGCTTACGCTCTGGGGATGCAGCTCCATGACAATCCAGCTCTGTCTGTGTGTGTTTAAAAAGCCTTCAGGAGGAGGGAGGCTGGGAGCTGCCTGTGGACTGGAGGAGACGTTTTTGTGGGAGTTGTGGGCAGTGACATGGTGGAGTGGAAATGCTTCTGCAGAGCTGCAGAAAGTTCTTGGAAGTCAGGAAATGCCACATCCAGAATTGCCTTAGTTTTTACTTCAGTCCTTTTGTATATCTGCATAACAGAGTGGTCTTTACATGTTCACAGGTTGGGGTGAAAGATGCCTACTAGCTAATGTGGTTTATCATGTGTGGCTGTTATGTGTTCTTGTACCCCTGCTCACAAGACCAAGGTATTCATTTCCCCATGAGGTTTTCTGGGGCACCTATCATTGTGATACCCAGCAGCCTCCTTTAGGGAGGGAAGGCAGCCCCCTTGTTCAGCATGGATTAAAGAGAATTTTTTAGTAGAATTGGATTTTATGTTCTTTAAGCAGCCATTTATTTCTGTTGTGGTTTGTTCAATGTAAAAATAGTAACAGTGTTCTCTGCCAGCATCCTTGATCTCTGAACCAGGAGCTGGAGACTTGTCTGAGCCTGGAGCCAGCTCTGGCCTGGGCTATGGTGTGGGGAGGATCTCTCCTGCAGTTCAGTTGTTTTTTTAGCTCAGAAGCTGTTTGAAAGCTGGAAGAAAAGCCCCACAGAAGGCTTTGGTTCCCTGTCAGGCTGCGAGGTGGATGGGCTGAGTGGTTTTTGGGGGCTTGTTTTGAACCAGTGCAGGTGGAGATGGAGAGTGGAACTGCAGCTGCCGGTGCCCGGGCAGGGTCTGAGGCCAGCTCACTGTGCTGTGAAAGGACAGAGTGGCTGGCACAGTCTTTTTGACTGGCAAATACATTTCTGTGTTACCTGGAAGACTTCAGCAGTAGATATGCAGATGAAATGTCCAGGCCATAGGTTGCCGTGCATTCATGGTGCAGTGGGTTATTATTCTGTGGGAGATGCTGCTGCGTACAAGCAAAGGGAGTTTTGCAGGGAGGAACAGTGGTGATACTGCCATTCCTGCTTGTGTTATTAGGAGCAGAAATGTTGCCTCTGGGTGCCCCCCCTCCAGTTCAGAGAACTGAGCTGTGGTGGCAGCTCTCCCCCACCCTTCCTCCAGCCTTATCTTCTTTCCAGGCAGACTTTTCTGGGCTTTCCTTGAACTCTTCTGCTGAACTCCTTGCACCATCCTCTGCCTGGGCTGTGCTCCTCTAACCCATTCCCCAGCTTGGGTCTCTCTTTCCTCAGTGCAAGTTTGATTCCTCTGTCTAGTGAAAACCAAATCCCTCTTGGCTCCAGCTGAGTTCCATTCCTCTCGTGTCATAGAACCACAGACTGGTTTGGGTTGGAAGGGACCTTAAAGCTCAGCCAGTTCCACCCCCCATTTTGCTTGCATTTGCTGTCTGGAGATGCTCTTCTCAGATCCCACCCTGGATACTCGTGGTATTTCTTTGTGTAGTCCCTGGCTCTGCTCTGCAAATCTGGAACGGCCTCTTTGGGGTCTACGCTGGAAATAATTCATCCCTGCACTCTTGGCACTTGTCAGCACCAGTCTCTTCCTTCCATGCCCATCGTCACCACTCTGTCCGGCCCTGTCTGCGCTCTGAGGATCTAGAGGACGTCCTGCTGGTCGGGTCTCTCAGAGGTGCAGCTCCTGGCAATGCCTTGATCTTATATTTGGACGTGTCATGGCATTTCCTGTGGTGACATCAAGCACAGAAGCACTTGCTGCTGTGTAGAAAAGTGTCCTGGTAACCTGCAGCGCTGCTTGGCTCAGTTCCTCTCCTGCCCACCATTCCTAGCACTCATGCAGCTCCTGCTCTCCTTGGGCAGCAAGCAGCCAGCTCTTTCCCTTTAGTCTCGCACATGATTGCAGCATGGAAGCAGTTGTTATGTGGATTTGGCCTGGAAGAAGACCAAGTTGTGCTTTTGTTGCTTTCCCATGTTTACTTGATAGTTTTCCCCACACAAATTGTTTAAGCTGACAAACCACTTTATGGATTGTTTGGAAGGTTTGTTTTAATCCTGTATGCAGCAATGTGCTGCTGTGCCAGGAGCCCCGCGCCCTTTGGGTGCCTGATTGTGTTCTGGTTGTTACTGTGTCAGTGCATATTGACAAAGTAAATCAACTACTTCAAAAGGAAATTAATTTGCTTCCTGCCTTTACATGTTTGGCTCCCATCTTGGGGAGGAAGAAAGAGTTTCAAAGTTCACAAGGAATATAAATAGAATAACATGCAGTGAAATACCTTTCTGCCTTCAGTCCCTGAGATTCTTCCAGAGGAGGCCACAAGGATGTGGAGGGGCCTAGAGATGAAGACAGACTGAGAGAATTTGGTTTGTTGAGTCTGGAGAGGAGAAGCTGCGTGAAGACCCCAGAGCAGCTTCTAGTGTCTGAAGGGGGCTACAAGGATGCTGGAGAGGGGCTCTTCATCAGGGACTGTAGTGACAGAACAAGGGGAAATGGGTTCAAACTTAAACAGGGGATACTTAGGTTAGATATAAAGTAGAGGTTCTTCCTGTGAGGGTGCTGAGGCGCTGGCACAGGGTGCCCAGAGAAGCTGTGGCTGCCCCATCCCTGGCAGTGTTCAAGGCCAGTGACCCTGTGCCTCGTACATCCCTCACTTTAGTTTGCTCTGACTTTTGTGCACCCTCCACCCTCCCCTTGGGTCAACACTTTCTGCTTGTCTTTCTGGCCAGCCATGTGCTCAGCATACCTGTGCTCCATTGTGGCCTTACAAATTTCTTGCATACCTGCCACCAGCCCTTGTGTATGGCTGTTTAAACTCTGGTTTCCCCTGTTGAGAAGGAGCTTTGTGTGCATAGCTCTCAGGTGGGTCCTTTTTCATCCTGCCCGTTCAAAGGTGGGCACCAGGGCTGGCAGTAAGATGTGCCTGGCTGCCATGGGGATATTCCCTGCCCTGCTCTGACTGTGCCTTTTCAACCATGTTCTCTCTCTCTTCTTATTTATTTGATTAGTTTTCAATCTTAATAGAGACCAGTCATCCTTGTGCAGGAAAGAAGGAAGGATCCAGCAGCCCATCCAGTGTAAAGAACTCTCACTAGGAATGTGCTGTAACAGCCCTGGGTATTGGTAGGAACCACAGAAAGCACTGTTCTAAAAAAAGGAAAGGAAAGGCTGAAAATAGCAAAATCCCAGGAAAACTAGGACAATTTCTGCTATTAAAGTCAAGTAGCTAAAATGAATCCACACTGGAAGCAGGTCGGGACTCCTAAAAGTAGTTGAACATTTAGAGGTTACGGGTTGAGGGAAACCTTCCTGCAACAGAGCTTCCTAAGTTCTGCAGCCTGCTGATTTTTGAGAGCTGCAAAGCTTCTTGGTAGCACAGAGCAAAGTGCTGCAGATCATTTTGTGCCTGGGAGGCAAGAAAGCAAGCCTGAAAATAAGAAGGAATACACAGAATGGGCTCTCCTACAGCTTGGCCTGGCCACAGACCCCAATGCCCTGGTTTCCCATAGTCCCTACACCAGTTGCAGAGTCCTGGATATGTTTTTGTTGAAGCTTAGTCCAAGACCTGTCAGGCCAGGTTGGATGGGGCTTGGAGCAGCCTGCTCTGGTGGAAGGTGTCCCTGCCCATGCAGTGGGGTGGAGCTGGATGAGCTTTGAGGTCCCTTCCAACCCAGACCATTCTATAATTCTATGATGTTCTTCAGCTGTCTCTTCCCTTTCCCTCGCTGGTTGTTGTTACAAATACCCTTGCCACTCTCTATTTTTGTTAAGGTTTATGTGCGTCCATACAGACTGCAGAGAGCACATCAGAGCTCACCACCGTAGCAATCCTGTTCCGCTTGCAGGCTACGTGCTCCGAGTGCCGCTGCCTAATGCCCTCTTCCCCTTCCCTCCTGCAGTGGCTGAAGGATCCCGGTCCCCGCAATGAGAAGAGGACACTCTTCTGTGACATGGTGTGTTTCCTGTTCATTACTCCCCTGGCTGCCATCTCGGGCTGGCTGTGTCTGCGTGGAGCCCAGGATCATTTGCAGTTCAACAGCCGGCTGGAGGCCATCGGACTCATAGCACTAACCATAGCACTTTTCACAATCTACGTCCTTTGGACGCTGGTAAGTGGCTGCTGCCCAGGGCCTTGTTTCTGTTCAGAAGGGAGATGAAAGTCCTGGCTCACCCCATGTTCCTGCCTCCCCCTGGGAGAAAACCTTGGGCTCTTTCTTTTGAAGGTCCATTTAATTTACTTCAAATAGGAGCTGCTTGCTGAGAATGAGAAACCACTTCCTGATGATCTGCTTTCCAGATTGACACAGGAACAGTGCTCCCCGGGGTGTCATGTACCAGGGTGCAGAGCTGGGTGGGAAGATCTGGTGCTGGGGGCAGGCAGTGCTCCAGTGGTGGTGCCTGTTCCTGTTTTCTAGAAGAAACACAGAATTGGTACCCATCTGGAAAATGTTTAACCCCCTAAATAACAGATCTCTAAATATTAGGCCCTCTCTACCCTGCTCTTGTGGGGCCCCCCCTGCAGTCCTGATCCAGCTCTGGGGCAGCAGCACCAGAGGGATGTGGAGCTGTTGAAGCGAGGCCAGAGGAGGCCACAGAGCTGCTGCGAGGGCTGGAGCAGCTCTGCTCTGGAGCCAGGCTGAGAGAGCTGGGCTGGGTCAGCCTGGAGAAGAGAAGGCTCCTGAAGGGGAGACCTGAGAGCAGCTCCAGTGCCTAAAGGGGCTACAAGAACCCTGTCTAACGCTTTTCCAGCTGCTTGCTGGGAAGCATGATTTTGGGAAGGGAAGGGCAAAAGTGCAGCCCCTGGAGGAGGAGGAGTTGGACCCCAAACTGCTGGCAGGAGAAATGCCACAGCCCATTTCCCTGCCATCTCATGCTCTGATTTCTCAGAGCAACACCTTCCCCTGGGGCCGGGATGGTCCTTGGAGCTCTCCTACACAGACTTGGGTGCCAGGAGAGGGTAAGCTGGTGTTGCAGCCTTCACTGGGGGGTGGTGGTTGCAATGGGTGCCTGATGAGTGCTGCTGTCAAAACATGCTGTAACTGCAGTGCACAGGGAGCTGTTAAGGGAAGTCTCATGTACGTGCTACAGGAGGTTCATTTCTGTGAAAGCTAAGCTAAAACTGGAAACCTTAAGAGGAAGTGCTTCTGTGTCCCAGGACTGGTCTGGAGGAGCTGGAAATCTGGCTGAAATGGAAAAACTGGAGGGTTTTCTAAAAGTGCAAGTGCTGACTAAAAGGGCTCTAGTTCTGCTGAGCTTCACATTCCCTTGAACAGAGAAGGACATGAAGTGAAGCCCCTTTATTCACATTTACCATGGACCGCAGCTCTTCCTGTGTGTAATAGGAATACTGGCTTTTCCTTGTCAGCTACTCTTCCTACTTGCTGGGCAAATGTTTCCTGTACTCTTACAGAGGATGAAAGCTTGGTTTTGACAAGTTGCTGACTGGATTCAGTATTTAATTCTCTTGCTCATAATTTGTAGGGAAATAAATAGGAGGGAAATACATGTTCGCTTTGTTCCTTCCTCCAGAAACTCTAGGCAAGTTTAATTTCAAAGCTAAGGAGTCAGCAGGAGCTGTGAGACAAGCGGCAGTGGTGGAAAGGATGCTGAAGGACACAGGGAGGAGCCCAGCCTGCTGGGGAAGCACAGCTCGAAGCTCCCCCTTGCAGGGCTGCTCTAAAACTGCAGCTTCTCGTTCAGGTCCCTTGGGTCTTCGCATTCTCTCCCGGCCAAGCGAGTCCAGCCGCTGTGCTGTTGTTATGGATCAAGGGGAGACGGTTGCAAAGGGCAGAGAAGACCCAGTAGGATCTGTGAGATGGGAGGAGGCTGTTTGGGTTCAGACACGTGAGGCTGGCCCTATTGAGAGCCCCTTGTTTTGCCCAGACAAGGCGCTCACTTCAGCCTGTGGCCAGCGTGAAGCTGTGGTTCCTCCCTGCCACTCTCACCAGCCTGGTACCCAAACTCTGTCCCTCTGCCCTGGTGCTGCCCAGGGGGTTGGAACTGGAGGAGCTGTAAGGTCTCTTCCCACCCCAATTCCACGGTTCTGTGACAACCCTTCCAGTGCTGTCTCCTTTGGCGGGGGATGCTGGTGGTTTGGCAAGGAATACTCGGAGAGCGGATGGGTGACCGGGTCTCTAGAGCTGCAGCCGCGGGGCCGGGGTTTGGTGACCCTCCTGCCGCGTTGTCCCCCCCAGGTCTCGTTCCGGTACCACTGTCAGCTGTACTCGGAGTGGCGAAGGACCAACCAGAAAGTCCGTTTGATGCTCCCGTCCTCGCGGAGCCCTCACCCCGTGCCCCACTCCCTCCTCTCCGCCAAGCTCATGAAGAAGAGCGCGGATGAAACCACCGTGTGAGCCCGTCCTGCCTGGCTGCTGGGCCGGGGCAGCCCCTCAGGGCTGGCACAGACGAGGAGGGCCGGGTGTCCCCACGTGCACACAGGAAACGTGGCAACTGTGGAGGCCCTCGGGAGCAGTCATCCCCCCCAAAGGACTTTGCAGTCAGTGTGTACTTTATACCGTGGCAAACAGACAGAGAATTGATCACTGTCATGTGAAATGGCCCAAAAGAGCCAGATGGTAGAACGTGCCTGTCTGCAGGGACACTTTCCTATAACTCAATACCATACGTGGAAAATATCTCCCTCTCTATATATATCTCTATATATAACATTATTTTTTAATGGCCATGCATATTGTGTTCCAGTCCTTTTGTGTTGATGTTCTAAGCTTCAGTTCTAGAAGCTGGCAGCCTGATCTCATTCAGAGGTTAAATCTATGCCTTTTCTCCAAATGAGCTTACAAAGAACACTTTGAAGAACATTGATGACAAATCCCCTTCTCCTTTGCACTAAGTTGGTTTTGATAATCCTGCAGCAGCCTTTCCCCTTCCTCTGGTCTCTGTCGTGCTGTTTCTGTCCTTTCTAGAAAGTTGTGTGTTTTTAAGAGTTATTATAATCCCAGAAGGAGTAAAATGACGCAGTTCCGAGCAGAGCCATTTTGTATTGGAAAGTATTGGAATTCTGAGAATTTCACAACACGTTTCAAAGTGAGAAAAGCTCTTCCTGTGCAGACGTGATCTCACAGAACACTTTCCTTGCGGATCCTGGCTCATCCCCAGGTCTCGGATGCACTCAGCTCTTGCTGTGTCTGGCAGAGGTAGATGGAGGGTCTGAGGGTGGGAGGTGATGGCTCGGACGTGCTAAACCCATTATTGCCTTCTGCTGTTAAGGTTCCAAAAGGAGCTTTCCTGAGCCCAAAAGGGGCAAGCTGGAGTCTCTGTTTGCTGATGTCCTTTCACCACCTTGAGGCTGGACCTCTCGTAGTGCTGGTTACACACTCCCCTCACAGGACAGGCCCTCACTGCAGCCGCTTGGCAGGATGCGGCTGGGCTCTGCTGTCTCTGTGCTTCATTTGCACATTCCTCAGCAGCAGCTGGAGGAGCTGCTGTCATTGGGATCATCCCTGGAAGTGCTCTGCCTGTTAGGTGTCCTCCGGTGAAACACCCCGAGAGCAGGGAGGAGGCAGGCTCCAAGGTGCCCGTGTCCTTCAGGGGGTGGTGGCAGTCACAGACTGCGTCCCGCTGCTCCTTTGCTGGGCACAAGCAGCCCAGCTGCAGTTACAGCCCCTGCACAGCAGCAGAAGCCTGCTTCGAACTGGCTTGTGCGATGGAGCTGCTGCCTCCACACACACCAACCACCCTTTGGCAGTGGAGCTGCGCCACTGCTCTGTGCCTTGTCCTGGCTGCTCCTTTCTTCAGCAACTCCCCAGCAACCCCCTGGCACCAGGACATTCCCAGTGAAGAGAGATGTGGGGGGTTCGTTTCCTTCCCACCCCTGCTGTTCCCAGGAGCTTGGCCTTGCACCGTGTCTGGTTCTGGCAGGTGATGAAGGATGCGCACTCCCAGAGCACGTTCCCCTCGTAAGGACTCTCTGAAGCCAGTGTTTCTCCCTGTGGATCACTGTGATCCACTCACTGTGGATCCAGGTATGAACTGTGAAAGGCAGAAGTCCCTGGCTGGGGGCAGCAGGGGCCTGGCCCGGTGCTGCTGCATGGCCATGGCTTCACTCGCAGCTTCGTCCTCTTCCTCAGTAACTGGAGTTGTTGCTTGTGCCCCTGCAGAACCCAGCAGCGGCTCCTGGGGTCTTCTCCTCTTTCCCAGAGGAGATGCTCAGCTCCTGGGTGTGGGAAATGAGTGTCTCTGACCTGCCACATGCCAGTGTCATGGGGAAACGGGCCGTGCAATTGAGTCAATAAAAGTGAGACAAAGCTTGGGCTCTTGTGTTGTTACTGGGGATGGAGGGGCCTTTACCTGTGTTCTGCTGTGAGGAACGTGCCTATTGCACGAGTTCGAACTGGAAGTAAGGAGAGGCTCTGGATGTATGGAGAAGATAACGGTTATCAGCTCCAGCATCTGGCTGGGTTTGGGTTCTTTTAATGTAACGATTAAGCTTAGTTGGAAAGAGCCAGAGGCAGAGCCCAGCACCCGCAGAGGAGCCTGGACCTGCTCATGGCCTTGTACAGAGCACTCAACGCCCCTCCTCTGTCCTGGGCTGCCTGGCACCAGGCTCGGTGCTCCCGGTGGGCTCCGCGGTGCCAGCCGGAACGGGGGCTGGTGCCCACGTCCAGGACCTGCCCGTCCTCCGGCTCGGTGGCGGAGGAGCCACGTGAGGAGGAGCTGGCAGGGCTCAGGGGCTCCAGCGCCCAGCACCAAGCCCCGGGTGATGGCGTTCTCCTCTCCAGGCCTCCGCGCGCTCGCCCACGTCAGGGCCGCAGCTGGAGCCACGAGTCCGTCCCCACCCAGAGCCAGGGGCGCAGCCTCTCCCCGGGACACGAATCCAGGCGGAAGGCAAAGATCGGGGCCTCGGTCTCGGCATCAGCAAAGGCCACCTGCCTGCCCGCGAAGTCCAGGCACACCTGGATGGCCCGGGGGAGGCAGGGGAGGTGCAGGGGCGTCCAGTCCGGGTCAGTGAAAGCAAAGTATTGTCCAAACCACTGCCCCACGGCCCAGATTCCCTCCCGCGGGGTAAAGCCGAGGACCCCTTTCCTCCTGACGGACTCCTGCGCCACCCCCAGGGCCCACCACTGACCCCCCTGGGCCACCTCCACGGCCCAGCAGTGCCTCCCCACAGCGAAGCCCTGGGCGCCCAGCACGCACGGCTCCGTGTCGAAGCGCTCGGCCGTGGCGGGCGCTGGGCTCCACTCGTCCCCGCGGCGCACGCCTCGCCCGTCGGCAGCCAGGCGGAGGAAGGGGTTGGCGCTGTCCGGGTCCAGGCTCACGGTGCCTGGGGACAGAGGAGGAGAAGATGCTCAGGACCGGCAGCCCCAGGGGCTGCATCCACCCCAGCAGGAGCAGGGACGTGGCGATTTCCTCCCCCCCGGTCAGAGGTGTCCAGTGTAGGGCAGGAAACCCCCAAATGCCGGCCTGCCCCAGCCTTGGTGGTGCCCTGAGCCTGATCCAGGAGCTTCCAAGCAACCCCTGGCCAAGGGGACCTCGGTGCCCTGGAGAGGGGTGCACGTGAGTGGATGGGTGCCCATCCGCCCTGTAGATACCTGCACCTGAGCTTGGGCGTCTCTAGGGCTGCGCACCTGGGCCCAAACCAGTGCAGGTTGTGGACAGCATTACCCCAAACCCCACAGCCCCAGATTCCCATTTCTTCCCATAGGAAATGGAGAGAGCCAAAGGTGCAGCTCAGGTGTCTTTGGTGCTGGTGGTGGGTCTACACTTAAGCATTGGGAATTCAGCTGGGGCTTATTGCCCCAGGGCACACCCAGGCTGGGACAAGCCCCAGGTGCTCTGATCCTAAACAGCTCTTCCACGAAGAAGCAGGATGTGTTTTTCTCCTCAACAGAGGACAGTTCCCCCTCTTTTCCCCTTCTGAAAACTCACCTCTTCCACTCATCTCCTCCACCTCCCCGGCCAGGGGCTCACTCTCTTCTCTCTCCATCCCAGTTTCAAGCAGGTCTGAAGAAAAGCACCAGGAGGGGAGGCAGGATTCCCTGTTGCCAGTGGGAATTGCGGGACTCAGAGACTGCTTAAAGGTGATAACGAAGGAATGATGGGAAACCCAGAGCATCCAGGCACTTACCTGTAGGCAGACTCCAGGAAAGGAGGGTTTGGGTGCGTCTGAAGGCTTCAGCCTGCTCTGCACAGCCCCGCTCTCCTCACGGCTGGGCTCGGCTCACCCCGCTTGTTTGATGGAGCTGATTGAGCGCAGAGGGGCTGGGGGCCTGGGGAGCTGCGCTGGGGGCTGGCGCCTCGTCTCTGGGGAGGGGCAGAGCTTGCACCTCCCCTCCTCTTGGCCACCACTTCCCATGCCCCGAGGCCGCCGGACCTCGTCCAGCTTTGGGATGTGGGAGCCGCGGCAGGGCCCGGGCCTGTTTGCATCGCGGGAGCCGCTGCATCTGCCCTCCCTCGGCAGCTGCCCCGGGTGATAAGAGCCGGGAAGAGGCCGTATCTCCCTGCAGCAGGGAGCCCAATGGCACCTCCAGCCCCTGGGATGTGCCCTGGGGACAGCAGGCACAGAGCTGGAGCCATGCTCTGGGGTCCGGATGCGATGAGGGAGGATGCTCTGCAGTGGCCTCGGGCCGGGGCAGTGGGGTCGAGAACAGCAAAACCGAGCTCCTTCCGCTGCCTTTAATCTCCGTGCCTGGCCTGCGCTGCGGCTTCCCCACAAGTGCCCGAGCTGCCTCAGCCACCCCTCCTGCTCCTGGCAAGCCGGGAGGATCCCTCACCTGCACCCAGGCAAGCGGTGGAGGCAACGGGCAAGAACGGTTCCCAAGGGTGACGCAGCGAGGCCGTGCCCCCAGGCTGAGCTGCCTCAAGAACCAGAGCCCAGAGCGTGCTCGGGAAGAGCTGCCTCGAGGCAGGGGAAGGGGAAACGTTTGGGGAAGGGCGCCTTTTCCCTGGGGGTCAGAAGGGAGCGGGTGGGGTGCAGGGGCTCCTCCTGGGGCACAACCTCCCCCTTCACTGTGCACAAGCAAGAGATGAGGGAGCTGGTTATGGAGGAGACTGCTCCTGCAGACGGGCACGGCCGGAGATGGGCTTGTGCTGCTCAGGAAGCCGCCGGTTCCTGCCCGGGGCTGTGGGTGCTGATAGAGGCCAGGGCAGCCCCTGCCACCAGCGCGGAGCCTGGCCTCGGGAGGCAAAGCAGCAGCAGCAGCAGCGCAAGTGCTGGAGGGTCCGCGGGTGAGTGCTGGGGAAGCCGCGTTCGGGGAGGGCGGGGGTGCTCCTGGCACAGCCACGTCCGTGCGGGGGAAGCTCCTGCCCCGGGGACCCGGACCTAGCAGGGGGCTCAGGTGGAGCCGGGGAAAAGGAGCTCGAGGGAGGCTCCTCCAGCACAGAGCTCTCTGGGACGGGACGGCTGCGGGGATGCGAACACCACAGAGCCGCTGGCTCTGCAGTGGTGCTGGCACAGGGCACGTTCCTGCTGTGCCCACGCCTCCCGGCTCTCCCCTCCAGGCCATGCAGCTCCCTGCCCTGCTCCTGCTCCTGCTCCTGCTCCCAGCCCTGCCGGCCCCAGCCGGCACCTCCGACCCCGGCCAGCCCTGCCCGGTGGAGATGAACAAGGTCAAGGACCTCCTGGAGGTGAACTGCACCGGGCAGGCTCTCAGCGCGGTGCCCCCGGGGCTGCCTGCGGACACGGGCATCCTGCTCCTGGGCGCCAACCGCCTGGTGTCCGTGTCCATCGCCTCCTTCCCGCCGCTCCCGCGCCTGCAGGACCTCGACCTGTCCGACAACGGGCTGGAGGCCCTGCGCGCCGGGCCCCCGCTGCCGGCCCTGCGGGAGCTCATCCTGTCCCGCAACGCGCTGCAGGCGCTGCCCGCGCTGCAGGGGCTGCCGGCGCTCTCCCGCCTGGCCCTGGGGCACAACCGCGTGGCCGCGCTGCCCCCCGGGGCCTTCCGGGCCGTGCCGCGCCTGCAGGACCTGGACCTGCGCGGGAACCGGCTGCGGACCCTGCCCCCGGACGCCTTCGCGGGGCTCGGGGCGCTCAAGGACTTGGACGTCTCCGACAACGCCCTGGAGGAGCTGCCCAGGGAGCTGCTGCAGGACCTGCGGCGCCTCGAGACCCTGTGGCTCTCGGGGAACCGCCTGCGGAGCCTCCCCAGCGGCTTCTTCCCCGAGGGGCAGCTCTTCATGTACGTGTTCCTCACCGAGAACCCCTGGCACTGCGACTGCCGCCTGCACTACCTGCGGGGCTGGATCCGGCGCAACGAGGGCAGCGTCTACCAGCCCGAGCGGGGCCTGGAGAAGACAAAGGTGGAGGTGGCCCCCGAGCGGGTGCTGTGCCACAGCCCCCCCGAGCACCAGGGGAAGCCCATCATCCACTTCAAGCCCAACTGCGCCAACGTGGGGGACGAAGAGGAGGAGGAGGAGGAGGAGGACTACGGCGACGGGGAAGAAACGGCAGGGAAAGCTGCCAAGGCCGCCGGCTCCCCCCCGCACCCACCCATCCCCACAGACAGCACCGCCGTGCCCCGTGCTGTTACCGGGCCTCCCCCCGCCACCCCCAGCACTGCACCCTCAGAGCCCAGCGCTCCCAGCACCGCCAGTCCTGCCCCAGCCAGCGCCACCCTCACCCCCACACCGGCCCCCAGCACCGCCACCGCTGCTCCTGCCCGCACCCCGCACCGAGCCACCGCCTCGCTGCCGACCCCCGTGGCGGCCACCGCAACATTGCCCACCACCCCCGTGGCTCTGCCTGCTCCGGCCGTGCCAGAGGCCTCTTCCCTGGCCACATCTTCATCTCCCCGGCTGGTGTCAACCACACCGCTGGTCACCGCCACTCACACCCGGGGCACCGCAGGCTTCACGCAGCCTGCACCTTCCCCTCCGGCTGCGCCCCTGCCCCTGTGTCCCTGCCCCACGGCCGGGCTGGAGGTGCCGGTGCTGCGCTCGTGGGCAGCGGGGGATGCTCTGCAGGGCGGGCACTGGGTGCTGGATCACTGCTGCCTCTTGCACTGGGTGCTCTACCTCGCCTGCTTGGCTCTGCTGGCGCTGAGCGCGCTGGCCCTGGCAGCCTGGCTGTGCCTCGTGGGGTGGACCTCCTGGCACAAGTCCCTGCAGAGCCGAGAGGTTCCGTACCTGCTGCTGAGGCGGAGGGAGGCGGCAGGAGGCCCCGTGAGGCCCCTCAGCAGCCCCAAAAGCCTCCTCCAGCACACCCGGTTCTGCACCATCAAAGAAGTGCAGTTGTACCCGCAGGTCACTTACTGCACGATTAAAGACCTGGGCACACAGTGCAGTCCTCCGGCAAGTTCCTTCTGCACCACGAAGGAGCTCTGGATCCACCAGAGCCCTCTGAAGGCTTCATTCAGGTCCCTCTCCAGGAAGCTCACAGTCACAAACCTCGGCTCCCTGAGGACCCCTCCTGCTTACAGCCTGGACAGGGGCCTGGAGGCCATCGGTGAGGTGAGAGTCAAATACGCTGGCAACACCTTGTAAATGCTTCCTCCCGTTCGGCAAGAGGTGGAGGGTCCCGGCTCTGCTTCATGGGCCCCTCTTCTACAAGGGCAAGCTCTGCCTGCCCAGGGAAAGGCACCCAGCTCTTCCCTCCAGCGTCACCCTCACAGCCCCGAGGTTTCTCGAGCTGAAACCATTACTCAGGTACCTGCCATGGGGAGGAGATGTCCTGAACTGGTCAGTGAGTGTCTGGGGCTGCCTCTGCCTGGGGAGTGTGGGACAGCAGAGCTTGCTTTGTGCTCTGCCTCCCAACTGCTTCTGCTCAGCCGGTGCACATTAAAGCTGCAGGATGCTTCCAACTGGGTGCCAGGCTCTTAATCACAGAATAAATATTCCCTCTGCCTCAGTTTCACGTGGCTGCTGGCTTCGTTGGTCACAGTCCTGCCAGGGCCCAGTGAAGGACAAAACTGGTTTCAGTAGTGAAGACAGAGAGGAAAGGTCCACTTACACCCAGCTTCCTACAGGGGCCAGCAAGAAACCTGGAGAGGGACTTTGGACGAGGGGAAAAGGCTTTAACCTGCCAGGGATGAGCTCTCCTGCTCTGAAGGGCTGGAGAACAGACAGGTATAAAGTGGTGTGAAGGTCAGGTTGTCAATGGATCATAACTCTTCCTGGATGGTGTTAACCTGGAATACAACACGTGGGACCGTGCTGGAAACTCTTCTATTTAAAGTCCTTATCAGTGCCATGGAGGAGGTGACTGAGCGCGTTTTTATCCCACTGGCACATGGAGCAGGTTGGGAGGGATCTGAGCGTGCTTCCAACGGGAATACCCTTCAAGGGAGCACCGCTCACCCTGGGGCTGGCAGAAACCGGGGGAAAGCCAGCAGGGAGCAAGTCCTGCACCCTGGGATGAAGGGCACAGCGGGCAGTGGAGGACAGGCTGCGTGGGGAGCGGAGCTGGGGCAGAGGGCTCCGGGTCCTGGTTGGCAGGAAGGTGGAGGAGGCCCAGAAGTGCCCCCTGGCACCGCAGAGGGAGAACAGGAGCCTGGGCCAGGGGAACAGGGCAGGGGCAGGGGCCTGCGGGAAGCCATTGTCCCCTCTGCTCAGCGCTCGTTTCAGACCACATCTGAACCACTGCTCTGGGGAGCTGTGAGCTCAGGATCCCCCACGCACCCCAAGGTGCCTCTCACTGCCAAGGCACACGCACGGAACAGTGAGCACAGGCACCCCAGAGCCCTCGCCCCATCCCGGTGCCCCCTCCACCCACCCAGCATGCAGGGCTCCTGCTCTGCTGCTCCTTGTGAGAAGCACCTGGATGTGTGGGCTCCCCAGCAGAAACAAGACGACCCAGAGGGGTGGTTCCAGAGCCACTTTTATTCCACCCAAGTATGGGGGAGAACTGGGGGATCCCCATCTCCCAGTAAGGGCTCGGAGCAGAGAGTGAGTATCCCTGGAGGCACAGGGCTGCGGTGGGGGGGGGGGGGGTGTCTGTCCCATGGGGTCCCCACAGTCTAGGGCACCTACCCTGGGGTGCGGCACTGCTGGAAACCACGGGAAGAACCCCTTCTGAAGGAGGGATCTGGGGGTGACTTTGTCCCACAGAGGTGCCCATGGAGGATACCGAGGGATGCCAGGGTACCTGGGGTGCAGAGCTTTGAAGCCTCCCTAAGCACTGTTGGGGGTTTCAGGTGATCCCGAGGGGTCCTCGAGGCAGCTGGGGCCACGCAGGGCAGGGGGGAGAGTGAGGACGCAAGCTTGGAGCTCAGTGTAGGCATGGGGCAAGGTGCCCCGGGTGATCCAGCGCCGGGCACCGGGCTGGTAGGCATGGATCAGGTGGGTGTCCTGGTAGGTCTCATGGCTGTACCCACCCAGGACGAGCAGCTCCCCCCCCACCACAGCCGCACCCCCAACGACGTGGGCGCGGGGCAGGGGGCTGAGCAGGACCCAGGCGTCCAGCTTGGGGCTGTAGACCTCAAAGGCCAGCTGGTCCCTGTAGCCCGTCTGCCCGGCGCGCTGGCACAGCCCCCCCGCCACATAGAGCTGCCCGCCCGCCTCCTCCATGATGTGCCCGGCCCGGGGGCCATTCATGGGGGCCAGGAGCTTGGCAGCAGCACCCGGCACGTAGCGCAGGAGGGACGCCTGGCACTGGGATGCCTCATCACAGCCCCCCGACACGTAGAGGGCACCATCCAGGGCACACGCCGCGTGCCCACACAGGGCCATGGGCAGGGGCTGGCACCGCCTGGGCGAGGAGAGAGGGAGGGGATGAAGGGAGGTCAAGCAGGGCTGCCCCATGGGGAGAACCTGCCAGGAGCCCTCCACTTGCTCCACTGAGCGCCCAGCAGGCAGCCTGGCCAGCACCAAGGAGCCCCAGCGAGCAGCATCAGCTCTCACACAATGGATGCCCAGGGGACATCACTCCAACACTTCACAGACTCCAGAAACCACTGTTGGTCAACCCACAGTGGACTCCCTCAATGGACAGTGTTGGCCAACACCCAACGAACACAGCTGGAAATGACCTGTCTTGGCCAAAAGCTTTTCCAGCACCCAGTAGGTGACGCAGGCCAACCCCAAGGGACACGGGTGCTCGACAGCCAGGAGACCTCTCCCAAAGGCCACTGTGCGCCATTTCTCCATCGCTAAACTACTCCATAGCTACTGCTAAACCCAGGCCAGGGGCTCCGTGGCCCAAAGACCACCCAATGGCCACCACTGCCAGCGCAAGGGGTTCCCAGGGCCGAGAAAAGCGAGTGCCTGTGCGGCGCGGCCTCACCTCCAGGTGTCGGTGGCCACGTCGTAGCACTCCACGGTGTCTGTGCAGTAGAGCTCCCCAGAGCTGCCCCCCAGCGCGTAGATGGAATCCCCAAGAGCCACGGCAGGGAAGTAGCTCCGTCCGCAGCTCATGCTGGCCAAGCGCTCCCAGGAGCCGTCCAGGGGCTGGTACCTGGGGGCAGGAGGTGACCCGTTACCTGCAGCGCCATGAGGGACGCCGGCACCGCTGCGGGCAGCAACCCGCGCGCAACCAGCCAATTCCGGCATGCCTGGAGCCACGTGCGTGCCTCGCGTGGGAATATCCCCACCAAACCCACTGCGTGCCCCCGTCCTCCCGGCCCTACCCCAGAAAGCTACAACAGCCCCGAGGGGGAGAGCACCCCCCAGTGCTTCCCCCAACGGAGCCCCAAATGCCCTGGGGCCGCTCCACCAACTGCAACGCCACAGCACCCCGGGGCCGTGGGGCAGCTCCGGCCCCACCAGCGCCTCCTCTGATCCCGCAGCGCGCGGTGCCACTCAGCGCCTTGCGGCCCTCGGCGGCTCTCACCTGTAGACACTGGCCAGGGTGTCGCGGACCCCGTAGTAGTGCTTTCCGCCCAGGATGTAGAGGGTGTTGCCCACCACCGCTATGGCGTGGCGGAAGCGCGGGCCGTCAGGGAAGTGCCCCAGCGCCCTCCACTCCACCTTCTTCACCAGCCCCACAGCGCTGAGGTAGCGGTGGGCGAACCAGAGGCGCTCGCTGGGCTTGCGGGCGGCCAGGTTGGACGCCAGCTTTTCCCCACCGCAAACCACGACCACCTCCTGCAGGGACCGCACCCGACACGGCAGCTGGGCCATGGGGGCCAAGCTGGCCACTATGAGCTCCCGGACGACCTTTGGGTCCGCCACCCCTGCAGTCACCGACGGCACCTTCTTCAGCTCCCAGGTGGACATGAGGGCGAAGCGAACAGAGGCCAGGACTTCCTTGGCCACATCCTCTTGGCCATCTCCGTTGGCCAGAAGCCACCGGGACGCCGCTTCCAAAGCCTCCAGCTCGTGGAGGACGTTGAGACCGTCGGAACGGAGGAGGCGGATGAGGACGTGCGCAGGGAGATCCAGGAAGGCCGGCGTGGCCACCACGCTGGGGAAGGTGGCCAAGATGTAGTCCTCTGCCACGCGGCTCACCTGGGCCAGCCCGTAATCCACGGCGAAGGCCAGGACGTCTGGGCCAGTGTCTGGGGTCAGGCCGCGGGTGAAGACATCCATGCAGAGCGTGAGGAGCCCCCAGGCCTGGTAGCGCAGGGAGGTCTCGGCTGCCTCCAGCACCGCGGCCCAGGGCCCGGCCACAGCCCCGGTGTAGGCGAAGGCGAGGAGCAGGCGCAGCTCGGCGGGGGACAGCCCCGTGGCCAGCGGGGCGGCGGGGTCGTGCGTGGCCTCCCGCATGGGGCACGTGAAGAGCGCGCGGAAGAAGTCGCAGGAGCAGCTCAGGGCCAGGCGCTGAACTGGGGGGAGAGGAACGGGGGGGGCAGCAGAGGAGCCCCCCAGCCCCAGCACCGAGGGGAGCAGCCCCATGGGCTCCTCGGCCCTGCCAGGGACCCGCCTGTCCCCGTCCCCACCTCAGGGCCCCGCTCACCTGCGATGACCTCGTCCCCTGCCTGGAGCTGGAGGTCGCAGCCCAGGCCCCTGGCGTGGAGCTGCCCCATGGCTCTGAGCGTCTCCCACTGCTCCTCCAGGGCCTCGGGACCCCCCTCCTGGGAGTCCCCATCCAGGCACAGGGCACAGGCGGCCGCCACCCGCGGGGCCCCCAGAACCCGGGCAGCCTCCTCCACCTCCTTCCTGCGGCCGCGGGGCACGGTTCCGCCATAGGCGAAGGCGAGCACGGCCCTCCAGCCCCACAGCGTGGCCCCGGGGGGCAGGGGGACACGGGGCGGGGGGGCCTGGTGCTGCTCCCTGCTCCTTCCCTCCAGGAAGCGAAGGAAGAAGGAGCTGACGGAGGCCAGGACCACAGCGTGCGCCATGTCACCCTCTGGGCCCACGCACACGTCCACGAGCTGCCCCGTGGCGCGGAGGTCGTCAGCCGTGGCCAGGACGTGTCGGGCATGGGCCCTGTCCCACAGGTTCCACTGGGCCGGGGCCGGCCCCTCTGCAACCCACATCTTGCCTGCGGGAACACACGGAGCAGGGTCAGTGCTGAACCCATCCCATAGCCAGAGCCTCTGCCTGGGGACATGGCACTGCCCTGCACTGAGAGCCACGGGGTCCATTGCCAACGCTTCCACCCCATAGCTGTGGCCACCAGGCTTTGCTACTGCCCCACAACTGAAGCTGATGCCTCCTGCCAAAACTGCAGCCCCATGGGCGAGAGCAGAGGCCACGCTGCTGCCCTGTAGCTGAGGCTGATGGCGCTCACCTGCCTCATAGCTGAACCCTCAGGATGAAGCCACCGACCCAAAGTGCACCCTGCAGCCCCACATCCCCATCTCCCAGCCCGGTGCTCCTGTCAAACCCCACAGCCCCATCTCCCAGCCCGGTGCCCCCTATCAAACCCCACAGCCCCATCTCCCAGCGCGGTGCTCCTGTCAAACCCCACATCCCCATCTCCCAGCCCGGTGCCCCTGTCAAACCCCACAGCCCCATCTCCCAGCCCGGTGCCCCTGTCAAACCCCACAGCCCCATCTCCCAGCCCGGTGCCCCTGTCAAACCCCACAGCCCCATCTCCCAGCGCGGTGCCCCCTATCAAACCCCACAGCCCCATCTCCCAGCGCGGTGCCCCCTATCAAACCCCACAGCCCCATCTCCCAGCCCGGTGCCCCCTATCAAACCCCACAGCCCCATCTCCCAGCGCGGTGCCCCCGTCAAACCCCACAGCCCCACCTCCTAGCCCGGTGCCCCCATCAAACCCCACAGCCCCATCTCCCAGCCCGGTGCTCCTGTGAAACCCCACAGCCCCATCTCCCAGCGCGGTGCTCCTGTCAAACCCCACAGCCCCACCTCCTAGCCCGGTGCCCCCATCAAACCCCACAGCCCCATCTCCCAGCGCGGTGCTCCTGTCAAACCCCACAGCCCCATCTCCCAGCGCGGTGCTCCTGTCAAACCCCACAGCCCCACCTCCTAGCCCGGTGCCCCCATCAAACCCCACAGCCCCATCTCCCAGCGCGGTGCTCCTGTCAAACCCCACAGCCCCATCTCCCAGCGCGGTGCCCCCGTCAAACCCCACAGCCCCACCTCCTAGCCCGGTGCCCCCATCAAACCCCACAGCCCCATCTCCCAGCGCGGTGCTCCTGTCAAACCCCACAGCCCCACCTCCTAGCGCGGTGCTCCCGTCAAACCCCACAGCCCCATCTCCCAGCGCGGTGCTCCTGTCAAACCCCACAGCCCCACCTCCCCGCCCGCTGCCCCCATCGAGCCCCACAGGGGACGCCCCGAGCCCTTCTCCAGCCCCTGCCCCAGCTCCGGTGCCCCAGGAGCAGCGGAGCCTCCGGCCCCGGCCGCCCCCCGCCCGGGCGCCACCTCACGTGTCGCGTGTCACGTGTCCCTTGCCGGCCGCCGCCGCGTCCTTGCGTCGGCCCCGCCGTGACCCGCGGGCACGTGGCTCGGTAATTATAGCGCGGGGGGGCAGGGCCGGGACCTGCGGGGGCAGCCCCGCCCCCCCCGAGCCCCGCTCAGCCCCCGCCTGGGGGCGGGGCAGCCCCGTGGCGCGCTCCTGGGCCGGGCTCACCTCGCACCGGGAGCCGCGGGCACCCCCAGCTCCGCCCTGCTCCCCCCGCACGACCGCGTCCCCGGGGACGCCCCGGCCCCTCCTGCGCCGTCCTTGGCTCCCCCCCCGTGTCCGTGCCCCTCCCTTCACACCTCTGCTCCCGCCCCACCCCGCAGCCCCTGCCTGTGAGCTCCCATCCCCGTCCCCTGTGTGCCCATGGGTCCGGCTGAACCCCGCGTGCCCAGAGATTTCCCAGCCCTCCATTCTCCAGCACTTTCCACCCTGTGACGTTTTATTGCTTCTCTGTAACTCCCATCTGTTCTTTCTCATCCCTTGCTGCGCTCCTGAGCCTGCCTCGTCTGTAACCATGAAGATGTTTCCCTTATTGTGTCCCTCAAGCCTGCGTGTGCAACATGGACACAGAGGCAACGGAACGTGTGCACAGAAAACACAGAATCCCAGCCTGGTTTGTGTTGAAGGGGCCTTAAAGCTCATCCAGCTCCAACCCCTGCCAGGCCCTGGTCCAAAGCCCCTCTCCAGGTTTCCTGCAGCCCCTTCAGGCACTGGAGCTGCTCTCAGGTCTCCCCTTCAGGAGCCTTCTCTTCTCCAGGCTGCCCCAGCCCAGCTCTCTCAGCCTGGCTCCAGAGCAGAGCTGCTCCAGCCCTCACAGCAGCTCCGGGGCCTCCTCTGGCCTGGCTCAGCAGCAGCAGCAGATGAAGCTTCCCCTCCAGCAGCTGGGCAGCCCCAGAGTTCTGTGATTCCAGCTGTTGATTTGCCAGCATCTTTATTCCACAGAGCCTCATTCCACAGAGCATTCCCAGGAGAGCTCACAGGGCAAGGCTACAGTCACAGCTTGGGAGGTCCCGTCAGCCTCCAGCCCTCCTTGTTGCCAATCTTCATGAGGGCAGCAGTGATCCCAAGCCCCAAACAGGACATGGTACCGGTGAAGTAATTGTGAGCTGGAAACAACACAGCAGAGCAGAAAAGACCTCTTAGTGCACAAGTTCTATCCAGGAGATCGTGACAGACTCATTCTTCTATCACTCTGTCTTCTACTCACAGCCCCTTGAGCCTCAGGAACGCCGTTTGCCAAGAAAAACCACCTGGATTTACATTTTCTCATGCTTTTAGCTTCCAAATGGAAATACCAATTCCTCCAATCCGCCCCCCATCTCCTTCCACAGGCAACCTCACATCGTGCACCTCAGTGACACAACCAGCAATCCCTGCTTCCGTCTCCCATCGGCTCAGCAACCAGGAAAAGTACGGATCAATTTCATCCCAACTTCAGCGAATGCCTCCCACCTTTAACAGAGTCTGAATGCTAGAGAAAGCAGAGCTGGCCAAGCACTGCAGGGGCTGATCTAGCCTGAGAGCAGCAAGATACAGCTTGTCCCTCAGAGCAGGGCAGATGTCAGAACATATCTTCCAGCTAAAATAAAGCGCGTTTGTTCCCAAGAACACGTGGATTTCCACAGTTCCTTCTTCCATACCCTGCAGTTTCACGGTAGAACTGACAGTTATAACCAGCAGGACTGGGCCAGCTCTGCTCATTCTGTAAACCAGGTTGATGTTACCTCTGGTGCCACGCTGCAGCAGTATTTACTTCAGCAGACTTGTACAATGGAGCATCAACCAAACCGGCACGGAATGAACTCAGAGGGGGAGCTGACATCAGGATTCATTGACTTACTTCTTGCCCCAATGATGGCTCCTGAGGCACAGCCTCCTATGAAGTAGTTCAAGGGGTCCTCCGGCTTCTCCCGGATCTCGGCACTGAGGCAGGTCGTCACACCAAACACGGCCCCCAGCGTGGCTGCAAGCGAGAGGCAAAACCCCACGAGTGAACCCACCAAAATCCCGAAGGAACCGAGGGCACACGAACACCTCTGTGTCGGGCACGGGGCGGCACGGCAGGAAAGAGGGAAACGAAGCAAAATCTGCTTTCGGTTACCCGCGGGCATCACGTTCTGGCTGCTGTGGTGAGACTGAGCATTACACAAGGCCCCTCCGGTCCCTCCCGGCCATCACCTGGATCATGGAAGGCTTTGGGCTGAAGGGACCTTAAATCTCCTCCAGCTCCAACCCCTGCCACAGGCAGGGACCCCTTCCACTGGAGCAGCTTGCTCCAAGCCCCTGTGTCCAACCTGGCCTTGAACACTGCCAGGGATGGGGCAGCCACAGCTTCTCTGGGCACCCTGTGCCAGCGCCTCAGCACCCTCACAGGGAAGAGCTTCTGCCTCAGAGCTCATCTCAGTCTCCCCCTTGGCAGGTTCAAGCCATTCCCCTTGGCCTGTCCCTGCAGGCCCGTGTCAGAGGCCCTCACCCATGGTGACCGTGTCCACCGCCGCCATCTGCACGGCGGCCAGAGCCGTGCCGGGCTGCAGCAGGATGATGCGGTACGCGGCTCCGATGAGGCCTGCAACACAGCACGGGGGCAGTGAGCGCGAGCGGCGCGGCCCCGGCCCCGGCCGCACCCCCCGGCCCCGGCCCCGGCCCCGGCCCCGGCCCCGGCCCCGGCCCCGGCCCCGGCCCCGGCCCGCGGCGCTCACCGGCGGCGGCGCCCACCCTCGTGGTGAGCCAGGCGCGGCGCGGGCACTGCTCGCCCTCGGGCCCGTCCCAGTACCCCGCCATGGCGCCGCAAGGGCACGGGCAGCGGCGCCGAGAACTCTCGCGAGAAGAGAGGGGAGGAGAGGACAGGACCTGCCCGCCCCGCCCCGCCCGGTCAGCCCCGCCCCGCCCCGCCCGCCGAACCGGAGCCGAACCGGAGCCGAGTCGGGGCCGGGGTTCGAATCCCGGCGGCTCTGACCCGGTTCCGCCACCCGAGCGCTCCCCCGGAGCGGCTTCAGGGAGGTATCGGCGGCCCGCAGCGGCCCCGCGCGGCCTCCGGTGCTCTCGGGTGCGTGAGCTCCGTGCCTGACCCAAACCAACGCCCCCATGTGCGGGCTCTGGGCCCCGCGGTGCCTGCGGAGAGCGCTGGGGTTCAGCCCGAAGAGGAGGCTCCGAGGAGACCTGGGGGTGGTCACGGAATGGTTTGTGTTGAATGGGCTTTAAAGCTCCTCCAGCCCCAACCCCTGCCAGGGCAGGGACCCCTTCCATAGAGCAGCTTGCTCCAAGCCCCTGTGTCCAACCTGGCCTTGAGCACTGCCAGGGATGGGGCAGCCACAGCTTCTCTGGGCACCCTGTGCCAGCGCCTCAGCACCCTCACAGGGAAGAGCTTCTGCCTAAGAGCTCATCTCAGTCTCCCCTCTGGCAGGTTCAAGCCATTCCCCTTGGCCTGTCCCTGCAGGCCCTTGGCCAAAGCCCCTCTCCAGGTTTCCTGCAGCCCCTTTAGGCACTGGAGCTGCTCTGAGGTCTCCATAGACAGTTCTCAGCAACTCCTGCCCATTAGAGAATTGCTCCAGACTCTTCAGCAGATGATTTTTGTCTTGTCCTTGCAATGGAATACAACCAGGAGCTGCAACCGGTGTCAATAGCGTTTCCCACGTGCACAGCTGGCTGGAAGCGCAGGGACTTGCAGCCATTGGCCTCCAGCTGGGTCCTGATGGGTCCCTCGACCATCAAATACAACATCACCACTTCGCCTTTCCATGGTCCCATTAGAAGCTGGAGGGAAGCTATCAGAATTCCATCAGGAATTACGTATTTAACATATCCCCCCCCCCCCAACTCATAGAAGGTCGATGGGAATTAAGGCTGCCTTTAAGAGTCCACTTGAGCAAGACCAGAGGTCAGTTTCAGCAGGTCAGTGCACAGAAAACCCAAAGAACAAGGGGAGAAAAGCACACAGTGAAAAGTCAGTTTAATGAAATCTTGACAAACGATGACAGAACTCCTAAAGCTAGAGAGGGTTACGGGGAAACATGATCACTTTTTAAACATGCAACATGGCCCCAGGAAGGAAATAAACCATTTTCTACACTCACTGGGAGCACAAGAGGCCACTCAGCCTGCAGGACAGCAGCAGTACCAGGCAATGGAATGGATACCTCAGCGGCTGGGAATGGGGAGAGAAGACAAAGTTGGGGGGGGGGGTGTTATTCCTGCAGGCTTCTAACAGCTTGGACACGTTTCCAGCCAGGGAGAGCTGAGGACTATTTATGTGGCTCATTCCCTGCCCTCCTCTGGCTCGGTGCCTCATGCACTAGGAACAGGGCTACGGAAAGGTGCTGGAACTGCACATTTCGCCCCTTAACGCCTGCATTTCCTGTAGGTGTAATCCAAATTGTACGGGTAAGTTTACTCCTGCTGTTCTGACACCATTTTCCCTATCAGGTGAGGTGCTCACTTTTATTACACTCCACTATTCCCCCCTTGCCCCCAGGAAGTGTGGAAGGCTGTGCCCACATCAGGCAGCAGCCAGAACATACAATGCAGTAACTGCTGCCTACAGACCTAAGAGCAAAGATGGAGCAGGAGGGTGCTGCAGGCTGTTGGCAGGAGGTAAAACAGCTCATCCCCAACCTTCCTTCTAAGCCCCCCACTCCCCCAGCGCAGGGAATACACCACCAGGCTTGGGGTGGTTTGTTTGCTCAATCTCTGATCCAAGCTTTAATGCAGTTACATCAACCTCAAACCACAGGGGCAGGATCTGGTTGTACCTGTCACCAGTTTAATAAGAGCCTTAAGGCAGAGATTGAAGGAAGAGTTTTGCTTTGGCCTAACTCCATCCTGAACAAAACCCATGGCCAGTTCTGCCTGTGGTTCACAGTACTATTTCCCTCTTCACTATAAGCATAGTGCAAACGCACTGTAAGTGACTGTGTGCCACCATCAAACCCCAGCAGGCAGATAGGCTTCTGCTGCCTTCTGAGGCTTCAAGCACCATCACTTTTGGTTTAGGTAAAGCACCTCAAAGTGAGACTCTGCAGAGACCCCATGGGGTTTGGGATCAGGAAATAACACCATTCCTCCACAAACAGGCTCTGCTAACCAAGACCCCTTCTCATTTCCTTTGTGCTGCCACCAGGCAGCCTTATGGTGCCAGGCTGTTTAAAGAGAGTAGTTTAAATCTGAGTATCAGTGGAAAAAGATCCAAGATGCAATATGCAATCTCATCTCTTATCTGAAAATACAGAGGTTCCCCAGCTCTTGTGATACAGACACAATTGTGTGGGTATTAAAAACCACGCTCTGCTTCTGCTGTGAGCTGCAGGAGATGGGGTGCATCAGCAGCTTTGTGCATAGTTAACAAAGCCCATCACTCTAAGGAGGAAGCACACTAATTAAGCCAAAAGGCATGAGCAGACAATGCAGAGACCCCCCAAACACAGTGGCACAGCTCCTCATTAGCCCTTTTCACAGTAATCCAAGGTGTTCCTTCAATCAGGAAGGACAAAGCACCCCCTGCCCCAACAGCTTAAGTCTTCAGCAGTGGTTAACAACAGGTAACAGGCAGAAACATGATCTTGCCTCCCAGTGAACAAAAAGGTGTTGCATTAAGACAGCGGCAGTAAGGACTGCTTTCCTAGTTGGAAAAGGCAACTGTAGCTTTTCTGCTACAATCTGGGCCTTCTTTTTCAAGGCATGCTACATTAAATGCTCCTTCCTCTTTCATGTTCTTTGAACGGGTGCATTTTAGATCCCAGCCTACAGGAGAAGGAGCAAGCGACAAATTATCTGGCAGTAAACTATTTATAATGGAAATAACCTACAAACTTCACAAATTGTTCCAAGTGACCTGGGTTTAAGTTGAGGGAGGCCCAAGTTCCAACTTTGCTGGACAAGAATATACCTTATGTTTTAATAACAAAATAGAGCTCAACTTTCACACAAAAGGCCCAACTGATGAGAAAACATCCGAAGCAGAAAGTGAGCTACGGTTACAGTAGGAGTACTTCAGAATTACACACAGGAAAACACATTCTTGCTTTTATTTTGGTGGAACAGAATACAATATCCTTCAGCCCAAACTATTCAAAGCTGGCAATATTACCTTTTTCTTCATGCTGCAAGACTTCAGGAAACAGAACAGGGGACAGGAAGGGTTAGAAGTTTCTATTTAAGGCCGTTAATCCAGCAAGGTATTGAAAAATGTACTTGACTTTAAGCATGAATAGTTGCATTGACTTCAGGAAGATTATTCACATGTAGGTAAATCAGGCAAGTGCTTCCATGGCTTGTTGAATCAAGCCATTAAATGAGAGCTGCTTCAGAGTACAGGTTTACTTGAATGGCTGGCAGAGCTCATTACATGAGCCCGGTTTATTCTTCCAAGGGCTAAACTGCTGTTTCCTCCTCAGCTTTCCTGAAGGTGTAATCTGTTTGCCTCCTCCACTTCACTGTAGCCACAGAAACATATTATTTCCTAAGAAAAAATTGTATGCAACATCTATTATATATAGTGGCTTAGCTCTCCCTTAAATAGGAACAGAAAAGAACAGTACAAAACAATAGTTTCACTTTCTCAACACACAAGAGCATCTTATCGAAAAAACTAAAATAAAAAAATGGTATCACCACAATATAAACCCCCAAATAATAATAATGAAATGGGAAGAAAGAAAAGGAATTAGCAGAATCCTGCAGACTCTGAAGTCTCTTGTTACTGCATTAAAAAACAACCTTTCCTGGTGAAGCACAATGTTTTGTTTCTCTCTGTTTACAAACCCACTGGACAGGGAACAACAGTGCCCACAACCTACGCTGGAATTAAAAGGGAAAACACCATCATCTGCCTCATCTGCAGTCCAAAAAGAGAATGAACCCAAAAGGGCAGTCAGTGAACTGGTGAGGACACAGTTTCCCTGCAGGTGGCAGAAACTCTTAAGGGGGAGGAGGGGCTCCAAAAGCAGAATTCGAGTTGGAACCATGTCGGAAAGTTCTATCTCGGAGGCCTGCAAGACATGAACTACTGAAGAAACAGTCAAAAGGTCCCACTGAAAAGCTGTGACAAGCTGTAATGTGCCATTTCAATTACAAGGAAGAGGGGAAATGGTTGGGGTTTTGTTGGGTTTTGTGTTTTTTATTTTGCGTTTTCTTTTTGGCTCATCAATATGATGAGCTTTCACGTCCCAAACCACATTCAGGTAGTTTCCAAGTCTGCTTTTTTCTGTGTGGAATCTACTGATCCAGACCAAAAAACCAAACAAACGAACAGGGATGCACAGTTCTTAAGTCCTGGAGCCTTCAACACTGCCTGAAAGAACAGCTGGCCTGGGGGATCCAGAGGTGCCTGCAAGATGGTGTTCATAGCAGCCTTGCAAGCAGAGGGGCTCACGTCTGCTATGTGCTGCCAACATTCTGCCCATCACCTTCATCATTAGGACCTGAAACAAAGGAAGTTCTTTGTCATAAGAAATATCTTTTGTTTCTTGGTTTACAACAAGAGACCCTACCTAAGAAGCCCACAGTAGTCTCAGATTTAGGATTTCAAGGGCAGATGAGAACTGTAGAGGTCCCCTTCTGCCTGCCTTACGTCTTCCTTCTCCAGATGGAGTTCTGTCCACTACAGAATTCTATGTTCTTGACTAATCTGATTTATCTCATTTGAGGATCCCACTAGCATCCCAGAGCCTAAAAGCTCAAGTTTCCAGCCTCTTTAATCCACCCACTGCTTTTGTTCATACTCATTGCTTCTTCCCCCCCCCCAGTGAATCAGGATGGAGGACTGGTCTCTGTCAAAGGCTGGATGTTCCAAGCCATAGGAAAGCAAAGCACAGTAACAAGCC